CCTTTGTCTTCTTCAAGGAAGCACATCCACTTGTATTCTGAAAAATGGCAGTCTTAAAGAGGGCAAGACCAGTTAGGTCAGGGATGGTCAACCTGTGGCATGCATATGCCACAAGTGGAATGAGGAGCCTCTATGAGTGGCAAAGGGCAGATCAAAGAGGGGATAGGGAGCACAGTGGCAGCTAGGAAAGAAGCAGAAAGCAGACCGGGGAGGTAGCATAGGGTAGGGAGCAGAAACCAGAGCACCAGATCAGTCAGAGGAAGGGAATAGGAGTAGCACTCGAGGAATGTACAGGGCTAATTTTTGGCACATTTGCCAAAAATGTTGGCCCCCACGCTGACCTAGATTTCACAATATATTTAACAAATGCATATTCAATAATGAAATGGACTCCTGAAAATACTCATAATTGCTTTTATCTCTGAACTCCTTCTCTCCCTATAGATTACCACATGTCCAATGTAAATTACAATAATCCAATCTGAATAGACTGTCTGCAGTGACATATGTAGTCCAACTGAAGACCCAGCCCTACAGGTGCGTGCAGCTTTAAGTTAAAAAAGTTATAATATTTGAGCATTCCATTTAAATTATTAAGAGCTGGAGAGGTGACTACTGAAACTCCCACACTGGTGTGGTTACATGGAGCTTTAAACATTGTTTATCCTGCCCAGCAATGTATTGGTGATGGAATGACAGTCATAAAATGTGCAATTGGAAAGAGAGTAAGAGTTAGGTCAGTAAAAGGAGCATGAATATTTCATGTTGATACAGAACAGAAATAATCAGTATTGCAGCAATTTTGTTGGCATAGCAGCTTCATCAAATATAGAGTGAGCTCAAATGCTGATAATTCCTTACACTTTCTATAGCTTTCATTCTGACTTCTCTTCCATCTATCATTTGGGTTAAATTTTTGTGTGCGTTTCCTCAGTTTTTAGTATTTCCCCATCAAGATTTTTTGCATTTCCTTTCCATTTTATTCACTCTCAATATTTTTTACAGGAAAGTAATATGCAATGAATAGTATTAATAAGAATGTAGCAATTTGAAAAGTATTGTCCAATCACAGGGAACCTAAAATTATGGGAGTTTCGCAAGGATGCAAGAGTCCATTGATACAGGAGTGGGACCCAGGTGTGATACTACTGTTTTGTTATATCCTTAAATGGAGGTCAGAATAGCGGGGAAACCCTCTACCCTGTAAGATCAAGCAGTTCTCCTGAAATGGCTAAGGGAACCCTTGAGAGGGGACACTGAAAACCAAGGGCTCGTGAGCAGAACCCAGTGGTTCTTACCCCAGTGATCAAATGGATGAAAGATGCTTCTTTCATATCTTCAAATAAGTCACCAGTCCCATTAATAATCATCCCCAAGTATAAGGTCTCCAGTAATCCCAAGACATGGATTGACAAGAGAGAAAAACCCTCGGAGGGTTTTCCACACACACACACACACGCACACACACATACACAACAACTCTATCAGTTCTATTGCATCTGATACTGTGTGAAGTCAGCAAAGGTTTGCTGAAACCAGGACAGGTTAATTTGCCCTATGAGCACAATGCGTAAACCACTAAGGATTAAAAGACTTAAACCTTCATGCAAAAATATGTATCCTGCCAATGTCGTTGGGATTACTCAACTAGTAAAGGTACACATCTGCCTAAGTCTCTGCAGGACTACAAGTAATGGCTCATTCTTAGACACAAGCCATATGGTTTCTGGCTAGTTACGCTCAGGTAATGTAATGCTTATTATGTTTAAAATTAAGAGAATGGCTTTTTCAAAATCACAGTTGTGTGTAGCAACTTGTTGCATATATCTTAACATACTTTTTTTTTCTTCTTTATGAATAGACACCCTGACAGTTCCTGCCCTGGTTCTATAGCTGTTCATATAATAGTTTAAATGATATTTTTCTAATTTGTCAACTCTTGCTCAAAATAAAATCTTACATTTTATTATTTACATTTCCCAAGCATCTACGTCAACTACAGTTTCCTATAGAATGTCTGAAGTAGAAAAAATATTAGGTTGCAACATGTGACTGCAGCCTCATTCCTAATATATTTATTATATTCCATGTCAGCTATATGGCATATCAGCTGAGGGTGTAACTGAGGGTACAATTTTTGAGGGCAAAGTCACCTGGATGTATTGTGAGTTCTGCAACAGAGAAGTTTCAGAATTTTTCAGAAAGCATCCACTAACTGGGAATTCAGCAGTTTTTGAAACTCAAAGGGAGGTGTTGAGTACCTGCATTTCACATGGACTAAAATCGGATAGTTTTCTGACACCCCCAAAATTCAGCCATAGGATATGAGCAAAAGCTTTGCCTTGAACCATTTCTACAAGTCACCATTAGGTGGCCCATTTTTCCACCTTCAAAATATGAATGTGTGTAACAGGGGGGGCTTCCCGGGGCCGATCAGAAGTTGGCCTGCCTGCCTGTTTCTGGGCTAACACCCACCTCTCCTGCCTGCCACACCTTGTTGTTAAATAATTAGGGTCTTAATTAGGCGGGAGGTTGCCCTTTGAATGCCCTGTTCTACTGGGCCTATGTATGCAGCTTCAACCACCCCTGTACTGCATCTCAACACTCGCTGATATTTTTAACAGCTGTGCTCTGCTCCAGCATGAGGCCAGGCCCAGCTCAGAACAGTTTTAGGCCTCTCATTTTCTGCCCTGTACGGGCTGCACTCAGACCATCTCCCTTTCACTGAGGCCTCTCTCACTCCGCTGCCTCTCACACGGTCTCTCTTACCGCCCCTTGCAGGGCCACACTTGTACTGCCCCTCCTTTTCCATGGGACCTCACTTACCCTGCCCTCACCCAGAGCATCCTTGGGCTTGTTCGCCTGCACTCCCTGGGCAGCAAGCGCGTGGGCTCTTGGGCCTCTCCCATGGACCTCATCTGAGCGAGCGCTAGGCGGTTTGCAGAACACTGGACTAACTCTGCCTCTGGTCTCTCACTGGGTCACTCCCCGGCTGCTCTCAATCAGGGGCTCCTGACTTGCCCCATTGTTTACTTGCAGTTCTTCCTCAGCCGCTCCACCCAATCAGCCTCTGGCCCACCTGTGGCCTCAGGCACCCAAAGGCTTACCTCGACCTAACTTGGCCCCCATGTTAGCAGGACCTACCCTCAAGCCCCCTGCTCACTGGGGCCCACTTCACACCCTTTCCTCAATGGGTGTCATCTCAGGCCCCCATGTTTGCAGGACCTCAATACTGCCCCTCTCTACTCAACCCTCTCTCCAGGACCTACCCACTGACACTGTTGTGCAGGCTGCTAGGTGCACCTCTGCACCCCCCTCTGCACCCCGCCTCCACTGAAGCACATACTCTGCCTCTCCACTGGGCCTGGGGTCGAACACCCCCACAGGCTCAGGTGTCACTCACCAGCACACCTTGGCCCACCATTCACACTCTCCAGGGTCTTGCACTCCACATGAGCTCAGGTGGCCACAGCTGTGCCTGGCCCCAAACTGCTTCCGATGATAAATAACCCACCCGAAGGTGGGGGCTGGTGTTAAGGCACCCCTCCTCGCCTTTCACCAGGGTAGTAACTGGCCTGGCATTTCTGAAGGACTGTTTCACCACAAACAGCCCCACCAGGCCAGCAGGGTGCAGTTTTAGATCATGCCCAGAACCAAGACTCTTGTAGCCATCTCCATAAGCTCTTTCCCTTACCTCCTAGTGTTACCGGAGCAGCAGCTCCACCGGGAGATGTTGTTTCCTCAGTGCCAGGCAGCAGACTGCTGCCTCTAGCTCTGCTGGCCTGAATCTTAAAATGACCACTCATCAGAGCTGGTACCACACCTGTCGGTTGCCTCTTCATGTTCTTAAAGCAGCAGACACCAAAGGTGCTTTGCCACACACCTTCCCCCTTAAAATAGTTCCTGGGGAAGGTTTCTCCTGCTGCTCCACCAAAGCAGGTTCCCCTCAGAGGCTGTGAAAGCCCTCGAGTGGCAAGCACCCCCCAAAGGTGCTCCACCTCAATAAGAATGAAGATGATGCAGTGATGACAAAAAAGAGAACCATACCTAATAGGGGGACATGAATATAAATTAACTACTGTTTGCAGTTTGTTCAGATTTTAGACTGATGAATAAAAATAGAAGAAGAGTGGGCAGTATTTATCACAGCCAACCATTAAAAATATACCCTATACTAAACCCCCTAAAAACTACTCCCCAACAATTAAAATCTTTAAGAAGTGTCTTTACCCCTTTTCTAGAAGATATTTAACAGCATCCATGTTCCCACTTCCACATGCTACCATCAAAGGGGTTTTGTAATGTAAATCTCTTACGTCCACTGGCACTCCCTCCTCAAAAGCTTTTTTCAGAGATGCAATGTCTCCTGCTTTAACAAGGAAGTTAATATTGGTGAAAGTCTTCCCTGGCTCATCAATATACCATGCGGAGTCATCCTGCACAGGATGTTCAGGTGGATGATCCCGATTGAAACGGTTGCTATCGGTAGCATTCTGAAAGGTCTCAATCATGTACATAGGCCCGCCATCTTTTCGGCGTGGGCATTCATTCTCTGGAATGACACAAATTGGCATGGGGATGGTAAACTTCCCTTTCTTGGCTTTCCCTCTTTTTCCTTTCTTCTTTTTTGGTCCAAAAGATGTAATGAGGTAGGCTTTTTGCAAGTATCTGGAACCTTTAAAAAATTCTTCAGTGTTAACTCCCCCAGCACGAGTTTTTTCATGTGCATGGGCAATTGTTTGTATTTGCTCACCATCCACAAAGGCACACTTTTCTTGAACGATTGATATAAAATCATCTTTGGTTACTGTCCCATCCCCTCTGTCGACCACTTCAAACGCCTCACGAAGTGCTGCCTGATGTTCTAAGGACCAATCGTACAGCCTTATCGACCACTGTGGGTTGGCCTCTTTCACTCCAGGTTTAGAGTACTTATCAAAGAGCCGTTCAATTTTACGCAGTTCCTTTGCTGCTGCTTTAAAGCCACCTTCTTTGGCAATGATTCTTGGGGTCTTTGTTAATAGATTCTTCCATTTGGGATCACAACCTACCATTAGAGAAATTATTTTAGTGAAAATACTGGGTCCACCAAACTAGCTGAGCCTGAATACAGATTTTCAATATGCTGCTGTAGATAATGAATTAGTAGTTTATCATTTTATACTGTCTTAAGTATGAAGATAAATGTTACAGCAAATTACATTTTATAAATTGTGATAAAGTAGTGGTTAAAAATATCCATGTGTGTGTGGGCATGCACACATGTACACTTATGTAAGGCTTTTGAAATGTTTATTTAACCAGTAATAAACCTGGAAAATCAAAATTGAAGTTGAAAATGTCATTCTTAACTCACTGTTTTGTACTTAAGAACTACAGTTTGGCTATCTGAAATGCTGTTGCTTATAGTGTTTCGACCTCAAGAACAGAGAACAGGATTTTTCAGAATCAAGTGAAATCAATGAAATGTTCCGAGGCTACACTGGATTCAATATAATCAAAAAATTATAATAATTCAATATAATAAAAAATGAGGCTCTCCATGACTCAGTTCCATTGTTCAGATCCTTTAAGTATTTGGAAATAAACACATTAACTTGATTTTGAAATGTAATGGGAATATAGAAGCTGTGAAGGTTTCAACAGCAGCTTTGGACAGTTCTGGAGGCATTTAATCTATCCCATGCTAACAGAATATTTTCCCTAGCTGCTATGCCTAAATGTTTACTCCAGTCTGGTATTAAATTACACAAATCCACTGAGCTTCCACTACTTCTCTTGAGAACTATTCTGCCCTGTCAGTGTCTCAGCCACATTAGTAGGAAAATTTCCTGACAGCTTGTTAGTGAATTTAGTATTCATTTAAAGATGCCAAAGTGACAGCCCTAGAGAGTCAAGTCTGCCTTTTGTGTGGAAGTGAAATCCTATATTTAACACAGAAGAATTTGCATGATGTTTGTAAATACACTCTTTTATTTACCTCTTTGTCCTATAAATTTGCAGCAATCTGCAAACCCCCCTGCAGCAGCATAGTGAAGTGGTGTATTCCCATTCATGGCAATCAGCCCCACATCTCCATTATAGGCAGAAATAATCCTCAGAATCTAGGAAAGAAATGTCAGTGCCATCAAATACCTGTACTAAATATGTTGAGGTAACAGGGGGAGGGAATTGTTTTAAGTAACTGAAACATTGTGTAAGCCATGCTCAACCATCTTGTTCTTTGCCCTCCCTACCACTTTGTCCACATATAAAAGATTATGAGAGAGTGCTATGATGATGTAGCAAACCTGTGTCCCTGAAACCTGGTAATAATAGCTTCTGTTTTTATTTGCTTCCCAAGTTCAATCTCGGCTGTTACCAACCCATGCAGGGGACTGCCTTTAAAACAGAGCAATTACATGCTATAAATAAATGGAAGAATTCCAGTATAGATCTAAAACAAAGAAGGCACAAGTTGGGTAGAATATGTCATCAGGCTTCTCCACAGCAGAATTATATAGATATTCTGGGGAGAAAGGAAGAGCTGCTAATAACCAGTTTCTTCATCTGTGTTGAAATAATGGCTTTTCCCAGTCATTATCTTGTACCCACTCACACCTTAAAAACAGTAGGATTAGATGAAGGAAGGGCAGCTGCTTCCCCCACCATGCACACCTCCAAACTTTCCTTTCATGTTCTCTACCCATAATAGAAACACCTCCTCCGTTGGCAGGCTGCACCTCGTGAGACATCATCTTTCTGGAGGGAATCACCCACGTAAGGCAGATGGGAAAGAGCCCACATGTATCGATACCTCAGAAAAAACTGTTGAACAATCGTGAGGGGGAAAAATTCATTGTTTCTGAAGGCCCTGTGATGATTTGATAGAAGCTATTCCTGAATACTGACCGTTCTACTTAAATCCAAAAGGACTAGGTAGCTTTGCAGTAAGGTGTCGGTACAATCTACTAAGATACCTCAAAAAAGCCTCCTTTGGCTGCAAAATGGGCAGCATTGTGCCTTTCATTGTCAAACAGGTTAACATCTCCTCCTTTCTCAAGTATGCCACACACCACCTCCAGGACACCTTCTCTGGCTGCTTCCATTAAGGCTGTACGACCGGTCACCTGCAAATTAAGCAGATCAGTTTTGCATCAGTATTCTTGCTAACTGGCACAAGCCAGTGTTGCAGGTGGTTATCAGAACTAGAGGCCTCCTTTGCGCATTGCAAAGTAGTAAGAGACGCTGCCGGCTTTACATTTCCAAAGTCTTTTGCAGTTTACATTTAGGAACCTGATACTGCAGCCTTCAGAACATGAGCAGTCAAGCCCACAGGCTCAATGCTGCAAGCAGATGCACACATAACTGGCTGCATGCATGACACTGAACAACCACACTGAAGTCAATGTCCCTTCTTACATGAGGAAAATTGCACATGCACTTTATTAGCAGATAGGTCCCTACTGAAAAGTGTCTAGCTCCCACTGAAGGTATTCTATACTACTTTCCTTTTCTTGCTCTGCACAAGCCAGGTCCTGAGAATAAGGGAATGCAGCTGCCTCAGATCAGTCTTGCATACAAGCCTGGCACTGCCCTCAGTTCTCTGTCTTGGGGCCCTCTCTCTGCTTTGCTTCTGGGATGTGATGTATTTGGAGCAGGAGCATGAAGTGGGGCATGCCTCACAGTGTCACTCCTGGGCACAGAGGTGGCGTATGCAAACCCTCAGACACTTACATTCGTGGGCAGGTTTTTCGTAAGGGCTTCTCACCCAGCAATTCCCAGTGTTATCAGGTGCTGAAAGAGATTGCCAGACTCTCACTCAAGAGTTAAACAACCATGGAAACACACGTAAAAGAGATGGCTGTTATTTCTGCGTGAGAGATGACATTAAAAAAAAGCAAAAAGGGTCATAATCCAGCCAATGCAAAGAACTTTGAGCAGCAGTGCCTGAAAAGTACTTGTGTTGGCCACCTGCCTTCCTGTCATAAAAAAGGCCAGAATCCAAGAAGATTGGTCTAATTTTCTTCCCTGGCAGGGAAGAACAACAAGCCTAACTGGGGGAGTGATCTTTCAGGGGAAGGTGAGGTTTGGCGAATTCTACTACTAACATTATATTCTTGAGCAAAGCTGCCATCTTCTATTACACCGACACCACATCTGTACTGGATAGTCAGGCATGTTTTGCTATGGCAGAACATACATTCTGAAGATTACTTGACTTTGGTTGGCTTTGGTTGGCTTTGGTTGGGAAAAATATAGATAATATATCTTGATTGCATATCTCAGTGGCATGTGTTCTCTCTGCCTTTGCTCAAGCAAGCCCTCAGATAATGCTGGGGTGATGGCTGGAGCATGGTTTTAAGCCTCAAAACTCAAGAAAGATCATCACAAAGATAAGGTTTCATGTAAAGGATACATAATTTACTGGTCTATGCACCAATTCAAATATAAATTAATGCATTAACTGAACCACTACTTTTCTGTGTTAGCTGCCTCTGGACTTCGCCTCTTGCAAAAGTGTTTAAGGGACAGGGAAATACAGCCTAGAATTATTAGGATTAACTGTTGTCCCTGCATCCCAGAGGTGGTGGAATATCACTAGAATAAATATTTCATTTGTGAAGCACTTGGGGATGAGAGATGCTGCATCCATGTAAAATATAACAGTGTTCTTGCCTGACATGGGACAGGCCCCTGCCGTCTCCCTGGACATGGTAGCCAGGCAATACAACTGACCTCTTTTGACAATTACTTTGTCAAAGGAAGAGCCACACTGTTTGAACTCAGCTAAACTGTGAGTCACAGCAAATAGAAAAGTCTTTGTCCTGGGGAGCCAATTGAGTGAAAATGGAAGTCATCTGATCTTGAATGAATTGTAAAGAGAAAAAGAGTTCCAAGAGCCCGGTGGATCTGCGGCATGGTCCCCTGGTGAAGGTACTGATTGAATAGAAAAGAATTGATCTTGTGAATTCAAAAGCTCTGATTTCAGATGTTTCATATTGTCTATTGGTGTCCACCTACCACCAGAAAACGAGAGGCCAGAGACTGATTACAGTATATACACAGAGAAACAATCAGACAGCTGGATTATTCCTCAATGAATAAGGTCTATTTTACAGGTAATTTGGAGGTAGGAGGCTGTGCAAGACAGAGGTAGCTGCGGTAACTGCTGGCCAGGAACTCCACAAGCGGGCAAGCAGGCTGAATGTTGCTGAAGCACAGGGAGTTTGCTGCAGGGCAGTGCTGTGAACTTCTCCAACCTAGCTTCAATTCACTGACTGACTTGGCAGAGGACCAGGGCAGTGACCCTTCACTATTCCAAGTGGAGGATCTTGCACTATTAGCAAGGGCCAGACCCTCCTATTAGGTGCCCCAGTGTGATCCTGTTCCATCCTGCTTGAGTCCCTGAAAAGCCATTTCTGAAAAGGCATGTGGATCCTCCTTTCTCTGATTTAGTCTTAAGTCTAAAATGAGGGATATATTATAAAAACATGGATTCGTGGTTTTCTAGTAACAGGGCAGGGTACAACAGGTTTGCACTTAGGTACCTAAAAGCACCTAGCCCTAACTCTCCCCTTTCTCTGCACTTTGGAGTTTGCATTATCATTAGCATAGCTCTAATCAGCAGACACACTCAAACTGAAAGCAGTCAGAGCTGAACAGGGAGGGGGCAGCTAGCAGTGCATTCTTTGCATCTCACTCCCCCACCTGGTTTGAGATTTGTCTCAATCTTCAGGCCTTCAGGGTAGAGAGCTAACCCCATCTATTTTCTATGGCTCACCGTGGGAAGCAAAAAGAGTAGTTAGGCATGGCATGTGTGGAGAGAAGAAATTTTTAGATTGGGTAATTTTAGGAATAAGGATGAGGGTATGCTTCTGCACTGGTGGGTATCTGAAGCACAGGGAATGCTGAATATGCTGATGGTACTGGGCCAGCTATTTTTTTTCTTTTTATTCATGCCTCTGAAACAAATGGTCTGGATTATGGCAATCTCCTGCTCAGATGAACAAAGGACAGGGAGGACAAAGTAAAGGGTTTCTTGTAGTTTCTCACCCCCTTGTTCCCATGTAGCCACATTATAGCTTTAAATTTATTGGATATTATTTTGGCATTTGAAACCATAGGCTAGATCCTCAGCTGGTATAAAATGGCACAGCACTACTGAAGCCACAGCAACATATACCTTTTGGAAAACTATACACACCTTCTAGGAAACTAGCATTTTATATATATATAACTGGATCCACTGTCCAGGCACAGGACATCCATTTAAATAAATCCAAAATGATGAAGTTGTTGCACTGCTTTTTAAATGCCTGTCTGCTGCTGCTATTGTTATTCCAACATAAAGATTTTTGGTCATATGCTGTAGTGGTCTTACATCTACATTACAGTAATAAATATTTACATCTACATTACAGCAATAAATATTTAATTATAGGAGTGTTCCTACTGGGTTCATTGCATTGGGGTCTGCTCCTTTTTCCAAGAATCTCAGGCAGATGTCTTTAATCTCATGGGCTTGTTCACAGGCTTGCAGAAATACCGGCTTCCCATCGAGAGTGCAGTTGTTAACATCTGCACCATATTCTAAGACAGTCTTAATGCAACGGTAGTGCCGTTTTGTGGGTAAAATGCAGTAGAACAAAATACCTGCAACAAAAAAACCCCAAGAAATGCTGTTAAGATATAAATATTCAGAGCCTGGAATAAATATTGAGGAATTTTCTTTTGGCCCTAATCAATTAATCTGGTCAGAAAGTGTAAGTAATGTTGACACAGACCCATTAACTTCTCAGGTTTTAAAGTGCTATCTGTGTGAATTCAACTTCAAGATAAGAGCATAGAAAGGAACATATGAAATACTCTTTGGATTTCAGTGTGGAGTAACCAATATTCAACCAAATCAGGCCATCAGTATTTAGACATTTACAAAGCTAATTTGTAGCTCTTCCCAATATTTAGAGGCCTGATCCAGAGAAAGTGATTATACTTGCAATGCTACATAAGCCCTTATGAAAGCCCTTCTCTTGGGTCAAATGGTGTAGCCACCCCCCCCCTTTTCTAGCCTGAATGCTAAATAAACACCAAACCCTCATATATTCAGTATCAAGTCACAGGCTTAATGCTGAGCCAAAAAAAAAATAGTGATGCAGGCATAGGTTCTTTATGTAGACCAGACATTGCCACTAAAGGTGGACTTACTATGCATGGTCAGCCTGCAACATGTGTTGAGAAATCAAAATGCAGTTTGTGTTTGATCCTGGCTCTACCAAGATATTTCTATCCAACAGGCTTAAGCAGGACTCTACCTTTTCCTTCATTATCAACGATGGTCATGTTTGCTCCAGACTTTGCCAATATACCCAAGGCTAAGTCATGGCCCAGCTCAGCTGCTTTCATCACAGCCGTGCGCCCCATCCGGTCCTGAACATTAGTATAAGCTCCTTGTTCTATCAGGAAGTTGCACATGTCAATGTCATTTGCAATGCAGGCTAAATGAAGGGCAGTCTCTCCATTGGTGGGCTCGGTGAAATTAATGAGGTCTTGGAATCCAAGCTTAGTCATCTTTTCTATCTGCTTCTTATCCCTCTGGCGAACGCACTGTAGGACTTTGTAGATCTGCAAGTGTTCAAGTCTTTTGTCTGCTAAAGACATTTTCGATCAGCTGATGTGGGTTGTCCTCCAGAGAAGAACTTTCTGGGCACAAACCATGTAACTTCCCTACTGGGACAAAATTACATGAAGTTATTCTCCTTGCAAGCAATAATAGTTTGGATCCAAAGCACCTACCACTCAAGGCTTCAGGGGCACTAAGCCCCCCATGGTTCTTGATTGGGCCATTCTGTGCATGTTTAAGATGGACATAGTAAAAAGAAGGGTTAAAGATCTGCCAGGCCTTCTGGCCCATTAGGGGAAGGCACAGCAAGTTATGTAGCCAACAGAATCCAAAGGAGTGATGTGGTTGGCATTCTGTCTGGACACCTTTGAATCCCCAACCAGGTATTCCTTTACTTGGACTGACTGGATGCAGCCTTTAGCACAGGGATATCAAAATCATACAGCCCCGCAGGCTAGATAAGTGGCATAGGACTGGACCATAGGCTAGATCAGAAGCACAGGGCCAGCCCCACAGACTGCGTGGGCCCCATGGACCTTCCCTGCTTCCCCCTGCATGCCAGATCTAGTGGCCACAGCGCACAGTCCAGCTGGTCCAGGACTGCATTCCATGTGGTACTCACTCTGGCCAGCCTAGGACACAAGCCACACACAGTGACTGCTCCAGCCAGTCTGGAGTGGACACCGCATGCAGCGTGGGTCCTGAACCAGCTGGAGCAAGCACTGGAGCTGGCATGCAGGGCACCCATGAAGCATGCCCCCTCCCACCCTTCATGTTGGATCCAGTGCCTGCTCTGGCTGGTCTGAGACTGCCACAGCAGTGCCCATCTGAAGCAGGCCACTTGTGACTTGTGTTCTGCACTGGCTGGACTGGGTAATAGATCCTGCATGTAATGGGATTAGGGTCCTGGACAGGCAGGGCCAGATGATGGGGCTTGGGCATGTGGGCCTGTCGCAGAGCACTTAGGTGCCCTGCGCCTGAGGACAGGGATGGCTCCAGAGAGCCCCTAGTGGTGAGAAGGGGGAGGCGCAGCCACCAGTCACCAGGGCAGCACAGGTGCTGGTTGCCGGGGCAACCGGCGAAACCCCCTGACAGGAAGGGGCAGGGCTTAGCTCTCCTTAAAACCCAGGCAGGAGGCTAGGGTGGCAGTTCCTCCTCTGACAGCCAAGGAGTGAGGAGTTCAGCCAGTGCAGAGAGAAGGCCAAGGTTTGGCTGCACGAGTATCCGCAGATTGCTGCTGGAGTATTTTTGCCTGGCAGGGATTAACGGTTGTACCAGATGGTCTAGTTTTATGTTATAGCCCGGGGGCTTTGTGTTTTGTGTTCACTGTTTAACCGGAGGACTGGGTGAGGCTAAAAGGGGTGGAGGAGGCCTCACAGGGACTCCCCAGTAGCGTGGGGGGTTCCTGGCACTGAAGAAGGTGCAGTATGTTGCGGGGTGCATTGGCCTAGCCCCGAGAGTGGTGAGGAGCCCCGAGAGTGGCCGAGGGAACCCGAGAGGGCGGAGGGGCGGCAAGGAGCCCCGAGAGTGGCCGAGGGACCCCGAGAGGGTGGAGGGGCGGCAAGGAGCCCGGAGGGCAAGAAGAGGGCCGAGACATAACAGGGCCAGTCAGATCACACCAGCACCATCTGCAAGGCTTGGGCTGCGGTGTAGGGGAGGAAAAGGAGCCGCAGATAGCGCCCCCTGTCATCGGGGCACGTAGAAATGGGCAGCCTCCCGCTAATTACAACAATCTATTAATTAAATAAGATCAAGGTGTGGCAGAAGAGTAAGCCGGGACAAGACACAAGCATGCATTCGAGCGAGGTTTTATTGGCCAGGTATGATGGGGGAAGTTGCAAGATACTGCGCTTCGTGTCCTGTCTGCCAAAAAACAAACCCAAGGCAGCCCACAAGAGCCCCTTCAGTCCCGATGCCTCTGGTGGAGGTTCCCTTTGAGAGGGTGGCAGTGGACATCATCGGGCCACTCCCTTGAAGTAGCACAGGAAACCAGTACATATTGGTCTTATTGGATTATGCGATGCGGTACCCGGAAGCTGTGCCAATGCGGACAGTGTCCGCACCAAAGGTGGCCAATGAACTCTTGAAAATATTCTCCTGGGTAGGACTCCCTAGAGAACTTCTGACCAATCAGGGAATGAATTTTACGTCACGTGTATTTGAGGCCGTGAGTAAAGCCTTGGGGATTAAGCATCTGAAGATGGCTGTGTATCATCCCCAAACAGACGGGCTGGTGGAACGGTTTAATCAGACGCTGAAACAGATGCTGAGAAAGTTCGTGGTAGAGAGCCCTCAAAATTGGGGAGGGCTCCTCAATTGGGAATGATACCTCCTCTTCTGTTTGCAGTACGAGAGGCACCCCAGGCCTCCACTGGGTTTTCACCTTTTGAATTATTGTACGGTCGGCAACCGAGGGGAATCCTGGATCTAATTAAAGAGAGGTGGGAAGAACTTCATTCAATATGTGATCCAACTGCGGG